CTGGAGGAGGAGAGCGGAGCGAGAGGAGGTGCGAGAAGAGGAGGAGTAAGAGCAGGCAGGTGAGGAGGAGGAGGAGGCAGAAGGTGTGGAGAAGGTGGTGGAGGAAGAGGAGGGGGAAGGCGGAAGAGGAAGAGGAGGAGGAGGAGGATGGAGGAGGAGAGGAGGAGAGAGAGGAGACGGAGTGTGGAGGAGGGAGGAGGTAGAGGAGGGCGCTTCTACTCCTCCTCTCTCTCCTCCTCCATCACATTCTTCCCTTCCTCCTCTGCCTCCTCCCCAACCGACACGCAGTTTCCTCTACCTCCTCATCTCCCCTTCCTACTCCTCCTCCTCCACTACCTTCTCCGCGTCCTTCATCTCCTCCTCTAAATGTCCAGGGGTAAATGTTCCGGGGTATGTCGCGGATAATGTCGTGCAGGAATATAATTTCCTGCGGCGGAAGCTGGAGTGTTGCTGGGATATTGTCCGGGCAGGGCGAGTACAGGATATGTACCAGGGGGGCGGGGTCTAACCTTAGCCCAAACTTGCAAGCACCGAAGCTGGGGGTTCTGTCTGGGTCTGGCCCCCCCCCAGAAATATTTGAAATTACACCCCTTAGATGCGTTTTCTGCGCGAACACGGGGGGTCGGACCGTCTGGACCCCCCCCCCCTCTCTCCCTGTACACGCCCTGCCGGGGGGTGATTGTCTGGAGGGTAAATGTCTGGGGGGTGATTGTCCGGAGGGTAAATGTCTGGGGGGTGATTGTCCGGAGGGTAAATGTCCAGGAGGTAATTGTCCGGGGGTGAATGGCAAGGGGGGTAAATGTCCGGGGCGTAATTGTCTGGGGGTTAAATGTCCGGAGGGTGATTGTCCGGGGGTAAATGTCCGGGGGGTAATTGTCTGGGGGTGATTGTCCAGGAGGTAATTGTCCGGGGGGGGGTGAATGGCATGGGGGTAAATGTCCGGGGGGTATTTGTCCTGATACCGTTAGTATATAGATATGCTAAGATATCTATGGTTGGTTCGAACCGGTACGTGCGTTTGGGTACGGCCCGTGTGGGTACACGCGTGCGCGCACGCCCATGTGTGTAAATTCGTTTGAGGGCACATATATACGAGCTAGAAGACAATTACCAATTTTGTCAGTGCATCATAATCTCATACTCGCTCGCTATATTTTAATTTCATTCTCATATTTTTTCAGCTGCAGTACATATGTTCATTGATGGGATTTTTTTCAAATCCGCATTTTCTCAGTCAAAAGCCTAGGCTTTCACCAATCGCAACATCTCGACCCAACGGTCAATGCCCGAATACCCATTACATTCGGTTTTTCGGAATGGGCCGAGGTTTGCCGAATGGGCTTTCACACGATTGCGCTATGTCGCATGATCAACGCATCAGCCAATGGCGTCGAAGCCGCTTCGCTGACGTCATATTTGTTGTGCTGTAAGCCCCATTCTATCCGCTAGCAGTAGCACAGCGTAGAGAGTCGTGCCAGCTTCCCGCAGATCGATGAATGGGCGGCGTCGATCTTAGTTATGTACCGAAATATTGATTGTACATGTATGCCGAGACATCATGTTGAACCCAATTCATTGTCTTGTGAAAGTGTACCATTGTCATACGCCTAGAGGTTGTATCACTGACACTGTATCAGTATACGTATCGAATCGGAGCACGTACATGGAAGTATCGCAGCTAAGCTAAAGGCGTATCTGCGTGTGTGAACCATGAAAATTTCCAAAAGAAGGTCGTGGGCGAATTTAAAAACATTAGATAAAAGAACCCTGGCTAGGCAGAAGACTGTTGAATCAACGCGATGCAAGTGTGCCGATGTGCACACTTTCAGTCGCAAAAAAAAGACTTCGCTGCTATACAGATTATGTGCTCAAATTTTCAAGTTATTGAAATTGTTGGGCTATCTACCACTAGGTGTCATCGTAGTTTCGACAAAGATGGCAGCGCCGGTATTTTATATTGCAGTGAGGTATGTTTTGCTAGTATCTGTATAGACTATACTATAGACTAGTGATCACCACTTGAATTTCCATTGAACATTGAAGACTAAACATTATGAGGTTACTACTGACTCCTGAACAGTATATTGGCAATTCCAGCGTAACGAACATGACAGACAGACAGTTTTCTTAATATTAATAATAATATTAATAATTAATATTGAATGCACAAGATCAAATGTAAAGAAAGATATGTCTTGTTTTACTCTGTGATTTAGGTACATTCGTCAGCCACGGATGTACATGACAATATATGTGATATTTCACTGATCAGTTCCTCAGAGATTGGACATATAATTATAAGATATAGTTTCCGTAACGGGCATGACAGAAAACGTACAACTACAAGGGTTATCACACTGCCACTGTAGCCGTAGGCCTAGACTACTGTAGCCTGTACTGTAGGGTCCCTGTATACAGAGAGTTGCGCCAACTCAGGATTTGACGCCATTTTGTTTCCAAATGGATACGCACGGCTATGTCCGTAAGAATGTGTACAATTAAATTATCATATGGCGCGAACGATTTGAGTTACATTTCTAGAAATCTAGATACACATAGACACGTACATGTCTTAGCTATAAATATAATCTCTGTAAATTTTGAGTTTATTGAAGCACGATTAGTCTAATTAATTACTACGGACCATTGTAC